ACCTGGCACGGGCACCGTAGCCAGCCCGTGCCCCTTTAAGGGGTCCGGGGCCGGGAGGGGGGCATATGAGTTTCCCTGTTGTTGGCCAGAGCGGCCACCAGGGAAAGCTGGGGAGGGCTAGCCTCCCACTAGTTTGAATTAAGGGGCTACACACCCCATAATTCGAACTAGTAAGTTCAAACTAGGGTTAGTCCTCGTAGAATGAGGTTTACCTAGTTCGAACTAAGTGCTCCGCTAGTTCAAATTAAGTTCGAACTAGCGGAGCGCTAGTGTAGCGCATAGGAAAGTTAGTTCGAACTAACGTCCGTTAGTTCGAACTAACTTTCTAGTGTAGACATACCCAACCAGTGTTTTCAATCATTAACAACAACGTCCACTTTAAACCCAGAGAGGCTATAATATAGAGAGACTAACCGGTATCATACTTGTATCATACTTTTTTTCAGGTTCAGAATCAGTAAAGTGTAACAGCCCTATTCCCAGTCCATCGCCAAAAGCAGCCTCTCCGCCCCTCCTCCCCCTATACATGCTGGGCTCCCTGGGCAAACAAAGACTCCACCAAAACAAACAAAGTGCTGGCCTCATTGTGTTAGCAAAAAAAGGACCCTCCTCCTAGAACCCTGGGTGGTGTGTGGAAATAAAGCTATTAGCTCAAAGCATGGTGCAGAGCTGTTTGGTATTTGATGAGTTACTCCTTTAGTCCTTCTGTTCTGCAATGTGATTTGTCCTTTTCATATTTGTTCTTTTTTTTAATTGTATCCTTTGGTATATATGGTTGTGACTACTTTCTTCCACTATTTGATCTGAGGAAGTGGGTCTGGCCCACGAAAGCTCATCATCTAATAAACCATCTTGTTAGTCTTTAAAGTGCTACATTGTCCTGCATTTTGCTTCAGCTACCCCAGACTAACACGGCTACATTTCTATCGCTATGGAACAAAGGAGGCATAAACAGACTATCTGAGCATGTGCAACTTTTGGAGATGAGCTGGCTGGCTGGGCCCATTGCAGATTCTCAGAAGGACGTGCTAATGATCCCAGCAGTGCCTGGGTTGAGACTGCAAGTGGAGTCGCACGACGGGGGATTCTGTCCTGTCCCTGACGGCCACTCAGAACTAGTATAAACACCCCACCTCCTCCTGAGCCCGTTGGGTTCCAGGGCAAGCTTTCTGTCTCACCACAGGCAGTCATTCTGCACTTCAGCCAGGGTGGACTTGTTCTTTCCCATCCGTTCTGAGTTACCGGGATGTAGCTACGACTTGGAAGGGCAGCTGCCTGCAGTCACGATGCTGACAAACGGTGTCCCAGAACTCAAATTGTTGATTGCATTTACCATTGGGGGGAAAGGACAGCAGAAGCAGACATCACAGCCTGAAGATCCTGAAACCAATCCGTTCGCTGACTGTCTCAGTCGGTTACTCCAAGTCCCTGCTTCCCCAGAGTTTGCAGGTTTGGCAATTCTGAGCTTTGGTTTGTGTCACATAGAGGATCTAGCAAAGAGACACAGGTGCCGGCCAAGACAGGCTCACGGAGATTGGGCTGAGGGGAGGTTTCACTGCTCTGCAGACACCTGGCTTTGGGCTGGAGCCCCGATTCTAGGATTCTGCAAGACGGGAGACTCCTAGAACTCAGGCCAGCCGTAGCCCAGAAGTCTACATCGCAATGAAAGGGCTCCATCACCTGAGGGCCAGCAATGGGGTATTCTTTGCTCTGTAGACATAAAGACAAACTTGAGTTGAAAAATCTAGGTCTAGATTTAAATCTGATCTTCCTTCTTCAGGGGCTTGTTCAATCCATCTGTAAATATCATATGAAACTCTAAATAGCTCAGATACCTTTGTGGTATTAGGTAATTGTGGCCCTCACATGCCTCTAAGTCTTGCTACTGTTTTTCACAACCTCTTTGTTTTCTTCCATGTCCCGTTTTATGCAGCAAATTCTCCTTTTATCTCCTTCCCTGACTTTGTGGCTTCATGCCTGTCTTTATGCTTGCAAAGGCACCCCTGCAGCAAATTCTCCTTTTATCTCCTACCCTGACTTTGTGGCTTCATGCCTATCCTTATGCTTGCAAAGGCAACCGTTCTTCCCTTCACTCTGAAGAGCTGCTTCTTTCTCAAGGTCTCCCATTGCTGCTGTCCATTCAGATGTTATTCTAGCTCAGATACCTTTGTGGTATTAGGTAATTGTGGCCCTCACATGCCTCTAAGTCTTGCTACTGTTTTTCACAACCTCTTTGTTTTCTTCCATGTCCCGTTTTATGCAGCAAATTCTCCTTTTATCTCCTACCCTGACTTTGTGGCTTCATGCCTATCCTTATGCTTGCAAAGGCAACCGTTCTTCCCTTCACTCTGAAGAGCTGCTTCTTTCTCAAGGTCTCCCATTGCTGCTGTCCATTCAGATGTTATTCTTTCTAATGTCAGTACCGGGCAAATTAGTTGGAACTGTAGTTAAGAATAGAATTGTCAGACACATGGATGAACATAATTTGTTGGGGAAAAATCAACATGGTTTCTGTAAAGGGAAATCCTGCCTTACTAATCTACTAAAGCTCCTTGAGGTTTTCAACAAGCATGTGGACAAAGTCCTCTCATGCATTGATAACTTGTTAAAAGATAGAAAACAACAGCTAGGAATAAATAGTTTTCAAATTGGAGAGAGGTAACTAGTGGTGTCCCACAGTGTCCGTACTGGGACCAATCCTATTCAACATCTGCAAAAATGATCTGAAAAAGGAGTAAACAGTGAGGTGGCAAGATTTGCAGCTGACACTAAACAGCTCATGATAGTTAAGAACAAAGCAGACTGTGAAGAACTTCTAAAGGATCTCACCAAACAAGGTGATTGGGCAACAAAATGGCAGATAAAATGTAATGTTGATAAATGCAAAGTAATGCACATTGGAAAACATAATCCCAACAAAATGAAGGGGAGTAAATTAGTTGTTACCACTCAAGAGAGAGATCTTGGAGTCATCATGGATAGTTCTCTGAAAACATCCACTCAGTGTGCAGTGGCAGTCAAAAAAGAAAACAAAATATTAGGAATCATTAAAAAAGGGTTAAAGAATAAGATAGAGAATATTTTATTGCCTCTGTATGAATCCATGGTACAGATGTGGTCGCCTCATCTCAAAAAAGATATATTAGCATTGGAAAAAAGTTCAGAAAAGGGTAACAAAATGATTAGGGGTTTGGAATAGCTGCCATATGAACAGTTTAAAAAAATGTAAAAACTTTTCATCTTAGAAAAGAGGAGACTAAGGGGGGATATGATAGAGGTCTATAAAATCATGAGAGGTCTGGATACAGTGAATAACGAAAAGTTATTTACTTATTCCCACAATATAAGAACTAGGGGCCACCAAATGAAATGAATAGGTAGCAGGTTTAAAGCAAACAAAAAGAAGTTTTTCTTCTTGCGGCGTACAGTCAACCTGTGGAACTCCTTGCCAGGGGATGTTATGAAGGCTAAGACTTTAACAGGGTTCAGAAAAGAGCTAGACAGATTCATAGAAGTTAGGTCAATTAATGGCTATTAGCCAAGATGGGTAGGAATGGTGTCCCTAGCCTCTGTTTGTCAGGGGCTGGAAATGGGTGACAGGGAATTACTTGATGATTCCCAGTTCTGTTCATTCTCTCTGGGGCACCTGACACCAGCCACTATCAGAAGACAGGACACTGGGTTAGATGGCTCTTTGGTCGGACTCGGTATGGCCATTTTTTCGTTTCCATCTACTGCATGTATCACTCCCTGTGAACCAGATGCCTCTGTATCAATCAAACTACAAGTCATATAAGAACTAGGGGCCACCAAATGAAATGAATAGGTAAGTAGCCTTTTTTCAAAAGAACTTCCCCTGCGTCCAGACTCAAGCCGCGTTCTTTCGAAATTAAATCGAAAGAACGCGGCTTTTCTTTCGACGGCGGTAAACCTCATTTCACGAGGAAGAACGCCTTCTTTCGAAAGTTCCTCTTTCGAAAGAAGGCATTCTTCAATGTAAATAGGGCTTCTTCAAAAGAGAGCATCCAGACTCACTGGATGCTTTCTTTCGAAAAAGCAAGCCGCTTTTTCGAAATTTCTCCGTGCAGTCTAGACGCTCTCTTTCGAAAGAGGCTCTTTCGAAAGATGCTTTCGAAAGAGCCTCTTTCGAAAGAAGCCTGCAGTCTAGACACACCCTTATATAGAAGCCAAGCCATTCATAGCAATCCATGAAGTGCTCTATGAATCTACTGGCTTGATTTATGTAGGGCCGGATTGTGATCACTGCAGTGTAAGTGACTAGACTCACATGCCTAGCAAGTTTCAAAAGGGTAGCTGTGTTAATCTGTTTAAGTAAAAAGCACAAGGAGTCCTGTGGCACCTTAAAGACTAAGAAAAGTAGCCATAATGTATTTGATCCTAGGCTTTTGTAGACTGGAAGCTACTTCATCAGATGCATGAAGCACATGATGATGCTTTTGAGTATCTGACAAAGTGTGTGGACACAGCAAAGTGATTTCGGAATAATGGCTGTTATTCCAAAATAACTATTCAAGCGTCTAGAGAGGCTCAACCTGTACTATTGCCCTAAATGTTGCTGCACTAGAGCTAGTTGGCTACAAATGGATGATCCCAACCATTTCGTCTGCACAGATGCTACCAATGTCCATCAGATGTAATTCATGCAATGACCATTCCTTCTTCCAGGGGCTCCCTCGTGTCATCCCGGCAGGGATGGCTTCAGATCTTGATGTGTACATGGCTGCGGACAATCACACCAGGGTGACCCATTTCATCCTTCTGGGGCTCACGGATCGCCCAGAGTTGCAGGTCCTGCTCTTCCTAGTGTTCCTGGCGAGCTACGTGCTGACCCTGGTGGGGAATCTCGGGATGATTGTGCTCATCAGACTCAATCCCCATCTCCATACCCCCATGTACTTCTTCCTCAATAACTTGTCTGTCGTCGACTTGTGCTTCTCCTCAGTCTTCGCGCCAAGGATGCTGGGGAACTTCCTAATGGAGAGCAAAGGGATTTCTTATTCCGCCTGTCTCGCCCAGGTATTCCTCTTTGCTGTGTTTGTCACCACAGAAGGATTCCTCCTGGCAGTGATGGCGTACGACCGCTACGTGGCCATCTGTAACCCGCTGCTCTATACTGCTGTGATGACCCAGAGAGTGTGTATTTGCCTGGTAGCCAGCTCATATACCGGGGGGCTCCTGAATGCCCTGACACACACCTGTGGCTTGCTGGGTTTGTCCTTCTGTGGGCCCAACGTCATCAACCATTACTTTTGTGACTTGCCTCCCTTGATGCGGCTGGCCTGCTCAGACACCCGTGTCAACGAGACCTTGCTTCTGGCCTTCTCTGGGGTAATAGCCTTTGTCACGCTTCTCCTCATCATCGTCTCCTATTCATATATCCTCTCCGCCATCCTGCGGATCCGCTCTGCCGAGGGGCGGCGCAAAGCCGTCTCCACCTGCGCCTCCCACTTCACTGCCGTCACTGTTTTCTATGGCTCTATTACCTTTAGCTACATACAGCCCAGTTCCAGCTATTCACAGGAAGAAGAGAAAGTCTCGTCCGTGTTTTATTCCCTGGTGGTCCCCATGTTGAACCCCCTGATCTACAGCCTGAGGAACCAGGAGGTCAAGAATGCCCTGAAGAGGACAATATTCCTTAATTAGTTTGGTAGTCAAGGCAAACCTGTCAGTTGCTAAGAACAAATGGAATCATGAGAGAATGTGGTTTCTGTGCCGTGGTTTTACATATTATGCTTTATACATGTTGGTTGAGAAATAAATGGAATTCAAGGCAGCTAAGGTTGCAACAGTTAATTACATTTTACAAAACTATGTGATTACATGTCTCTTTATGACGTGAGTGTTGTAACACACGTTTCCCCCTAGGTTTTCCTTGCGCTTTACAGCTGGTTGGCATTTGGCTTTACAATATCATCTTGGCCTTTGTGTACTCATAATCAGAAGTATCGTTTGAGTATCTGACAAAGTGTTGATGAGAAAATTGCACTGGGTTGATGAGTTCTGGAACCAATTTAATGCAAGAGGTACAAAAGAACGAGCTGTTTTGATTAGGGCTAATTAGGTTTCTGACGATGTGATTCCTTTTTTCCAAAAAGTATCTATGTTCTGCAGAAAATGTCAGCAGTTTGTTGAAAATCCAGTGTGCCCAGAACTGAAAAATGTCTGTGGAAATTAACAGTGTTGTATTCAAGAATGTGGCCAGGGGACATAATGGGAGTTGTAGTTTGGATCTGTTCCGGTGGCAGTCAGATGTCTTGTGTCCCCATGTATCAGAGGGGTAGCCATGTTAGTCTGGATCTGCAAAAGCGACAAGGAGTCCTGTAGCACCTTATAGACTAACAGATGTATTGGAGCATAAGCTTTCGTGGGCAAAGACCCACTTTGTCACATGCATCTGACGAAGTGGGTCTTTGCCCACGAAAGCTTATGCTCCAATACATCTGTTAGTCTATAAGGTGCCACAGGACTCCTTGTCGCTTGTGCCCCCATGTTCTTCTGGGATCGGGGCTCCCCAGCTAGAATGTATCTCCCATGATGGGGTGTGGAGATGTGATTCCACTGATGTAGCAAGATTTCTCCGCAAGAGATGAGGAAGAAGAGTGTTGCCTCATGGGAAATGTAGTCCAGCCAGGGACCCTGGCCCATAGAAAAAGGGGTCATGGTGATTTATACCCCAACTATAGCTCCTATGAAGCATCATGGCAGCCTTTCTGAATCAACATTTTAGTTTCTCATATTATCTTTTCAGATTCCATCTGAGAACTTTTGATTTCCACTTTTTCCTGAAAAAGTTGACATTTTCCATTGGTGTGTGTGTGTGTGGGGAGGTTTCTCACTATCTCTAGCTTAAACTCACCCTTTATATGAAAAAGTTGAATCAGTTTAATTTAATCAAGCCCTTAGACAAGGAAAGGAAACTCTGCTTCTGACTTGGATTTTACTTAGCATTAGCACAAATTTGAGCCATAAATCTGGCCTAGGGGTAAATTTGGATAGCTCAGAACTCTCCCAGAAACAGAGGCTGTGTCTAGTCTACACCTCTCTGTCAACAGAGAAATGTAGATTAGGCATGTCGAAATTGCTAATGAAGCGGGGATTTAGATATCCCGTGCTTCATTAGCATAAACAAATCCCCACTTCATTAGCATAAACATGGCCGCCCCTTTTTTTCGAAATAGAGCTTTATAGAAAAAACCTGCAGTCTAGACACAGATCTTTCGAAAAACAAACCCTTTTTTGAAAGATCCTGTATTCCTCAAAAATAAAAAGGGTTTATTTTTCGAAAGACCCGCGTCTAGACTGTTGTTTTTTTCAAAAAAGCTCCATTAAAAATATTTATGCTAATGAAGTGCAGGATATTTAAATCCCCGCTTTATTGGCAATTTCAACGTGCCTAATCTACATCTCTCTGTCAACTGAGCGGTGTAGTCTAGACACAGCCAGAGAGACCATGTGCTGCTTCCATCAGAAAACAACCTCTTATTTTCGGTGTCCGACTTGTCACCTCAACGTAGATTTTCTACCATTTCCAATTTCTACAGGGGACAACCCCATTGGATTCTGTCTCCCTGATTCCCCAGTCCCAGTGCTCACAGAATGCAGAGCTGTCTGTAGGGTTGTGCTACCCTATTTATACCGAGGGAAACTCCAGAAGGGGACCATGATGGGAGTTCACCTTCACTTGCTCGACTGGAGCCACTGATGTTGGCCTTACTTCTGTGCTGCTGCTAGCAGCGGTGCTGCCTTCAGAGCTGGGCACCCTGCCAGCAGCCACCAATCTCCAGCCACCAGGGTCAAGAGGCAAACAGCATGGTGGACCTAGGATGGGAGGCCGAGGAAGGGAACTTGGGGCAATGGAATGGAGGAGGAAGCGGAGTATAGGAATAATGGGAAATAGCTGAGGAGGCAGCAGGAGCCAGAAATGCCAGACTATACGTTTTTCCAGGGCCCCATTTTCCCTAAGGACAGCCCTGGGTGTGCACCAGGATACTGGGTGATGGGGCCAGGGCTGCCAGGGGACCAGCTCAAGGAATTCAGTGGGCTGCTGAGGAGGAGTGAGAGGATGAGGACTGACTGTGGCACCTGTCTGGCCCCTTTGCTCTTTTGCTGGCCCCGGCTGAGATGAGGGGCTACATTCACCCCACAAGTCCCCTCTCTGAGGGGCACACGTTCATAGTGGGCCGTGGTGCCAATTGCAGCTGCACAATTGGGCCTCAGAGAAAAACATTTTGGTACCCCTGGCTTATAACGCAGGCACTCAGTAGAGGCACGTACGCCGGTTGGGAGCGAACAGACAGAATAACAGCAGCAGAGCCATATACCACATGAAGAGAGACTAAAAAGACTGGGACTTGGCAGCTTAGAAAGGAGGAGACTAAGGGGGGATAGGACAGAGCTCTATATAATCATGACTGCTCTGGAAAAGGTAGATAAGGAGAAGTTATTTACGTGTTCCCATAACATAAGACCTAGGGGTCACCAAATGAAATTAAGAGGTAGCATGCTTAATATAAACTAAAGGAAGTTTTTCTTCATGCAGCACACAGTTAACCTGTGGAACTCCTTGCCAGAGGATGTTGTGAATACCAGGACTTTAACAGGGTTCAAAAAAGAAGTAGATACATTCATGAGGGGTAGGTCCATCAATGGCTATTAACCAGGAGAGGTAGGAATGGTGTCCCTAGCCTGTTTATCAGAGGCTGGAATTAGGTGACAGGGGAGGGATCACGTGATGATTCCCTCTTCTGTTCACTCCCTCGGGGGTACCTGTCATTGGCTGCTGTCGGCAGACAGGACACTGGGTTGGACGGACCTTCGGTCTGACCCACTATGGCCGTTCTGATGTCCTTACGTTCTTAATGACTAAGATTCCAGGCCCGCCCTTGGAAGCAGCAGGCTGATGGTGGCTTGAAGTGGTTTCCACATACAGAGCAGAGTTGGGGCGCCTAAGGCCCAGCGGTCAATTGTGGCCCCCGGTTTGCTTGGATCCAGCCCCAGAGGCCCAGGGCTCCCTCCCCCAGCACTGGGGAGCCTGCACTGGTGCTCCAGCCCCATAGCCATTTCCCATTACAGGGATGGAGCACACAAAATCGACTAGCCTGATCCCCCCTGGCATGTGAAGGGAATGTGGGGGTGTCTGTCTCCTCAGTCAGGGACCATGCTGGTGAGATTTTGGGGTCTTTTTTATTTGCTTCTCAAATGGGAACATCCCAATTGATTTTTTCTGTGGGTCAGCAGTAACACTTTAAGCTACATGGACTGTAATACCAAAGAACCCACTGTACCCGGGGGGGGGGGGGGGGAAGCACAGGGGCTGACCTGTTTATGCCATGATGGGGGTGGTGGTGGCTTTAGCAGTGTTACTGAACATGCTCAGTACAAGCTAAGCAGCAAACTGGGGGAGGACCGATTCCATTTGCCCCCCCCCCCAAAACCACATATTACCTCTTTCCAGGGCTACTAAGGCACTGGAAAACCTCTAATTTTGGGGGGGCAGACAACTTAGCAATTAGCTGACAGGATCACTGCATCTAATTATATAGGAGTTAGATGCAGTGCTCCTGTATGCCTCATTTTACAAGGCATCAGGGATCTATCAGAAAAGGCTTTCTTTAGTGAAAGATCAGCCTCTAGACTGCTGCTTTTCTCCAACAAAGCTCCGGGCCAAAAAAAAGCGGCAGACATTTTTATGCTAATGAAGCACGGGATATTTAAATCCTCGCTTCGTTAGCAATTTTGATATGTCTAATTTACATCCCTTTTCCGAAAAAGGGATGTAGTCTTGACGTACCCTCTCTGGGAAATGCAGAGAGAACATTCCCTAGGAGCGTCCATGGATGTACTTCAGCTGTATTTTATTCATACACTGTTTCACAGGGACAATCACAGGACTTATGAGGGATCCATACCCGATACCTTATTGGCTCATGATTAATTGCAATCTTTATCTTTTTTAACACGAGCAGAGAAGAAAATGGCAGAGGGAAACCACACCACCGTGACTGAGTTCATTTTTGCAGCATTCACGGATCATCCAGATCTGCAAATCCCTCTCTTTTTGTTGTTCCTAGCGATGTATGTGGTCAGCCTGCTGGGGAATCTCGGGATGATTGCGTTAATCGTGCTGGAAACCCGACTCCACACCTCCATGTACTTTTTCCTAAGTCAGATGTCCATGGTAGATCTTGGCTATTCCACAGCCATAGCTCCTAGGCTGCTCATGACCTTTGTGGCAGACGCTAGAGCCATTCCTTTGACAGAATGTGCAGCCCAGCTGTTCTTCGTCTGTTTCTTTGTGACTGACGAGTGTTGCCTGCTGGCTGTGATAGCATATGACCGTTTCCAGGCTATCTGTAACCCACTGCTCTACAGAGCCATTATGTCCAAGAGACAGTGCGTGTTCATTGTGGCTGGGACCTGCACATGTGGCTTAGTGAATTCCATTGTGCAAACCCTATTTATATTCAGCCTGTCCTTCTGCAGCTCCCCTGTGATCAATCATTTCTTCTGTGATGTGCCGCCCATGCTGAAGCTGTCCTGCTCTGACACGCATGTCACCGACCTTGTGCTTTTCACGTTCTCTACCGTGATTGTCACGACTACGTTCCTGGGTGTCCTCGTGTCCTACTTGTGCATCCTTGTGGTCATTATCCAGATCCGTTCTGTCAAGGGCAGGCGCAAAACCTTCTCCACCTGCACCGCCCACCTGACGGTGGTCACTATGTTTTATGGGACGCTGATATGTATATATTTAAGGCCCAGTTCCCATTATGTAACTGGCCAAGTCAAGGTCACCTCTGTGTTTTACGCCCTTGTGATCCCCATGCTGAACCCCCTGATCTATAGCCTGAGGAACCAGGAGGTGAAAGAGGCCTTTAAAAGGATGATCTACAGGAAATTCTTTTCTGGGTAATTACAATTGTTATTATATTTCAACCAATAAACAGTAGATGGAAGAAGAGTGAGTTCTTTGTATCATTATCCTTATTTCCATGAGTCAGCCACTCCATGTGGTGTACAGAAAATAATACAATGTAACTCAGTCAAGTACAATATTAGAAATTGCCGTTTTTAAGTTCCACAGATGAGGGTCTGTGACAATATGTAGAATCAGCAAGATGCCCTACCACAAACATCTGACCTTTGGCTTAAGGACAAGAGTTGTTGTCTTTTGTGTTTCAGGCCTTCTACTTCCTACAGATTGGCGTTCAGGTTTGAGGACAAGATGATCTCACATGTCCTTGATCAGTTCTGAGGTGCCATCCAGTGGAGGGCACTGTTAAACAGCCAGAGGAAAAAACCAACCAGGACTAAAGCAATGATTATGAAAGCTCATCTTAGGTGGACAGTCATGTTTTTAGAATGTGTAGTGATAAATCTCACTCTCCCCCCTCCAAGGGTACGTCTACACAGCCGGTGACGTCAATTGTGCAGCTTATTGTGAAATAGCTTATTTCAAAATTGGGAGCATCTATAATTGGGTCTGGCTTTCTTTACTCCTCATACTATGAGGGTTACAAGAGTCGGAGTAAGAAGTCCTCCAGCTTGACAGCATTTCAACATTATTTTGAAAGAATTGCCTGCTGTGTAGACGCGGACTGAGACATTTTGAAATAATGCTAGTTATTTCGAAATAATGTTGCTGTATAGATGTACCCCAAAAGTCTTCTATGTTGAGCTGAAACGTGGAGAGCAGAAAAAAGCAAACAGCATCCATGCTTCCAAGACAACCTGAGACAAAATCTTGACCCATGCAATACAAATATAGGTAACTTTAAAGACACATCCAAGGAGAGACCTGAAAGAACCACAAGTATCAATAAAAAACACGTTGAGAGAGACACACAAGAAAAACAAATTGAAAAAATGATCAGGCATCTTGCTAAGTCTTTCATTGGGAGGCTACACATTTCTAAGTGACATCCTTGTTCCTTGGAACCTTGCTCCTTGCGAGTGAGGCTTTATAGCCATGAGGGAACATACAAGGCACAATGACATCATTATTGGAGACAATGGACAGTCATACATACTCTTCCCCAAGTACAGAGCGCTCAACACTAATGTCTAATGTTCACATAAGTTTGGGTAAGAGAATTTTAAGACGTTTCAGCTAGATGCACAAAGGAACTTTAGGTACTTAATTACCATTTGAGGCACATCAGTCCAACATTTAGATGCTACTGAGATAATCAAATCCTCTGCTAGCTGCCATCTAACCTGATAGGCACTCATGTTCTCCTAGCAGACATGCACCAAAACTAGATCCCACTGATTCTATTTGGCATCCTAGCTTATGTCTTAGCACAACAGGAATCTCAAGCTAGGTTTTCACAGGGAAGCAAGGGTTTGGTTTTGGTCAGTCAGAAAGTTGGCAACCCGATGTCCTTCCTAGCCCTTCTAGTGGTATCCTATCTATGTTGAACAGAACCCTACATGAAGGAAGAGTCAGGGATGAAGGCACCGTAAGACTCTCCATCCCCCTATGGATCCCTTATCTCAGCAGCACCTCATAGGGCAACGCTGTGAGATACGTAAAGAAAGGGAACTGAGGTATTGGCCTAGGAGGTGATCACCCACTAACACCACTAATGCAGTTTGTCCCTTACCCATGTCTAAACCTATGTTGACCTGGATGGAGGGACTCTGAAGTGACCATTATTTTCCCCAGGTTGTTTCACTAAATAACCTCTTTTTTATTAACCTACAATGGGAGGCTTGAAATAGTCTTGTACTGGCCAGAATGTCAAAGTCACCTGATCTGGGGGTGGGGGGAGGGAATTAAGGTATGTCTACACTACACGCTTATTTTGGAATAAGCTATTTCAGAATAACAACTCCCAAAATAACAATTTTGAAATAGCACATCCATACTACAGGGAAGCCTTGAAATTAGCCCAAGGCAGGCTCCCCTAATGTGGACGTGCTACCTCGATTTAGAGCCTCAGGCAGCACTATGGAGTAATTGCTCTGAATGGCCCTGGGGAGGAGCTATTTTAATAAGCAGCAATGGAGCGTCCACACTACCACTATTTTGAAATAGCCACTATTCCTCATAAAATAATGGTTTATTATTCCAGAATTTCAAAATAATTTCCAAATAACGGGCTTTCTGTGTGGATGTTCCCCTTGTCATTTTGAAGTAGCACTGCAATGTAGATGTGCCCTTAGATGCAGTGTCCTTAGAAATAACTGGCACCACTGTCCCCAAAGCAGGTCATGACAATCTCTATTCACTGGAGAACTGCCGGGAAGGACATGGGCTGGATGCATGAGCCATGGTTGAAAGCACCCGTAGAATCGCAGTGAATGGCATCACCTCCTGGAACGCTAGCAGAGAAGATCTTCTTGTTGTCCCTTTCCTATGTTTGCACCTCAGCGATTGAAGGATGCCAAGCCCCTATAGCACCCCTCTCTCTTTCCATTGGGCCTTCCATATGCTTATCCTATATCAGTGTTATTCCGTCTTCTTGGCCACCATACTGTGGTCATGCAAGAGCCTTCCATATGCTCATCCTACATCAGTGTTATTCTGTCTTCTTGGCCACCATATTGTGGTCATGCAAGAGCCTTCCATATGCTCATCCTACATCAGTGTTATTCTGTCTTCTTGGCCACCATATTGTGGTCATGCAAGAGCCTTCCATATGCTCATCCTACATCAGTGTTATTCTGTCTTCTTGGCCATCATATTGTGGTCACGAAAGGGCCAACAGTAGCACATTTGAGTATGTGAATAAAATATAGTAATAGTAACAACAACAGTAATACTGTTGTCCAGGTCAAGTATGTCACTTTTCCAACAACACAGCTGCCAGTCTCAGAAAGCATGAAAATGCCAATCAATGACTTAATTTTTTAGGTAAACATCATCGTTTATTCCTGGCGAGGCAAGTTACCTCTGGAGAAATCATTCAGACTTCTGGACTGAGGAAATGGGATTAGGTCTCTTTGATGGAAAATGCAGAGGAACAGAACACTGGAGGTTCCACACAACCTTCAGAGACAGCTTGTCTGTGAGTGGTTATCCCCAGAGAACCAAAAGGGAATTTTAATGATCTGGCCTGGTTTGGGTTTGCAAGACTCCAGGATCTCTAGGGATTCTGCTCTTTGTCAACAACTCAAGTATAAACCCTACAGTGACACCCATTTATCACTCTTTTGTGTCAAGAATAAGGTCAGTCTCTTTCCACAGTAGGTATCATGACTCTGTAAGTGCTCCTGGAAGTTAAAATCTCAGAATTGAGATTGTTCTGTGTTTGAGTATTTCAGTGAGTTTGCTTTGGTTTCTTTTCTGCTTCAAAGTGCAATAAAAAATGTCAGGGCTGGGGGAGACTGAAAAGCTGGTTTTTATTTAGGTATGAATGATATAGAGTGAGATGGGAGACAGGACAAAACAGTAGAGGAACTCATTGAAATGTTCTGTGTTTTAATTAAGTAATTACTTAATGTATTTATTGCCATGAAATGGTGTAACTTTGAGTGTGTGAATATTTTTACCAAATACATTCCTGGTTTTGCTGAGCT